CTCGCAATCTAGGATCTCTGTTTATAATATACATTCCATCCTCTTTTTGCGTAATACCTCTAGTCGCGAGTATTTTACTTGACGATTCATCCAAATTTATAAATCCTGTCGATATCTTCTTAATAATCTCACTTTGCATGTAACTTGGTTGAACATTACCTTCCTCGAGTTTAAAAAATGCATCAACTGCATTTCTAAATCTAGGAGTATATGTGCTTGTACTAAAAGATATAAATTTAAAAATATCCAAAGCTATAACGTATTGCAGCTCCGTTGGGAAAGTTGCAGCATACCAATATATTGTCATCGCACTTAAGGAATGCGCCATTACTTTTATTTTTTTCCATCCAAAATATCTTTTAATTCTTTTGACTAACAAAAAATATATCAATTCATTATACATAAATCCTGGTGGAATCCATGAAGATAAACCGTGTCCAGGTAAATCGATTGCTAGAACTGGTGTATTTTTCATAATAAGTGGTGCTATGTTATCAAATGATGCAGCATTGTCTTGCCAACCATGCATAGCCAGGATAGGTTGTTTATTTTGCGATCCCCATAACTTACCTAAAATAAAACTTGTTTATAATGTGAATCACTTGTAGAAAAAAAACTATATAAGATAAATGTCCCAGTAAGACGTTTAAGCGTTAGGTTCTCATAAATAATACAATTTATAATATCAAAAAGGTTTTTAATATAAATATTTGTATTCATTTGAAAACTCAAGACTCCCTTAAGCAAGGAAAAATTATTTAAATCCACTTATAACAATTATTAATTAAAATATTTAAATAATAGAATGCGTCAATATATCAGTGGCCGGACAAGCTATTCGAACACTGAGACATAATTGTCCCAGTGTCCGATCACAATTGGAAAATTAATATGCTGATGGAAAATAATATAAACAGATGTTTAATGATAAAAGATAACTAATTCAAATTGATCTTTAAAGTAAAAAAAACATTGAGATTAATATAAATAAATAAAATTTTGTGTAACTGTCTGGACATAGATATTGTCCAATCCCAATGACTGGACATGTATCTATGTCCGGATATAACCTATGTCCATTTATATAATACTTTATTTATTTAAGTTAATATTAGTCTTAAATACGCTTTTTAAAACGTAATATTATAATTTAGTTGTGTAATCTTTAAATACAATTAAATTATAATACTGTAATAAAAAAAGCATTTGAGATTAATATTAATAAATTTTGTCATAGGTACATGTCCGGACAGTGGGATGTTTACCTTACCGGCCACTTTTCCCCAAGGTACGGGAATTTCTATTTCCTTAACTTCATGCTGTGTGGATCTACTATACAGTTTCACTAGCTTTATGCAAGAGCTTGTTCTCAAACCACAAGTTACAAATTGTTTAAACATTGTACAAAAATATATATATTTTATATATATATAGCACACAGTTATAAATACCAAAGTTCTATAATAAACTTTTGTAATAACATACTACATATATGCACGTATTCATAGTCAGGCCTTATATTCAAGGCTTTCTTAAATTTACATACTTTACAAATTATTTCATTGGCTACTGAGCATCTAAAGATAAAGGACCCCGCACTATCCTTATCGGAAATGGGGTTCCGCGGATTTGGCTATAACTTTGCCAATTTGTTATTTAAGCCATACTGATGAAAAGTTATCAAGGTCACAACTTAATCCTATGAGCCATTTTCAATGTAGAGTCGCTCGAATGTCTGTAATAGTATGTATCTGTAATAGTATGATATTCTATATGCATATCATTCTTCTACTCTTAGCGTTTCTCAGGATTAACATCGGAGACCTATCTGGAATCTGAACCTTTTTAGTAAGTGGATATATACAGGGTGTCTAAAAATTAATGGTTAAACTTTAATGGTCAAATCGTTGATTTGAACAAGTCCACGACATTAATCCTGAAAAACGCTAAGAATAGAAAAATGACATCCCAGGTAACAAGGTGACGTAAAGTGACATCTTAATGACATGTTATTAATGCTAAAGATGTTATTAAGACGTCATTTGACATCATCTTGCTACCTAGGATGCATATAGAAAATCATACTATTACAGACATTCGAGCGACTCTACATTGAAAATGGCTCATAGGATTAAGTTGCGACCTTGATAACTTTTTATCAGTATGGCTTAAATAACAAATTGGCAAAGTTATAGCCAAATCCGCGGAACCCCATTTCCGATAAGGATAGTACAGGGTCCTTTAAGGAAGCTTTAAGTACAAGGTCTGATTATGAATACGGGCAATAATATTTTGTATCTGTTTATATAATATAACCCCAGATCTACAATAGGATTTTAAGCCTTAAGCAATTGGTCGTATCGACCTCCTATTTACAGTTTGGAGGTGTGAGCCATAAATTAAGAAGAAGCCTTAAGCAATAGACGAATCACAGTCGATTATTCCCCTCGGATTCGACTGTAATTGGTCAATTTCTTACGGCTTAAGTCTTAAAACAACTATTGTAGTTCCGGAGGCTGCGTTCCGTTTCACACATGATGTGCATATAACTCCGGATCTACAATAGGGTTTTGAGTTGTAAGAAATTGATCAATCACAGTCGAATTCAAGGAGAATAATCGATTATGATTCATCTATTTCTTATGGCTTAAGGCTTAAAACTCTATTGTAGATCCGGGGTAATGCATCATTCATCCTTATTTAACATTTGGCGAATAATAAGGATAAAAGATGCAGGCCATCACATGTACAAAAATTTTTGTCGTATTGTAAGATCGCAAGCAAATCAACTAATCACAATCAAAATTACGATCTCACGTTTTAAAATGCTCGACTGTGATTGGCCAATTTGCTTATGGCCTTACGATTACAATTAAAAATTTTTACGTGTGATGACCTTTAACCGTGAATTGTGGAACTGGGTTTTAAACTGTATAATTTAATACTGTCTTAATTATAAAAACCTATAAATATCAGCTTCAAAATTTTAATGTTTATCAATTTAAAATGGGACACTGAGACTGCGTTCCGTTTTAGGCATGATGCGCATGATGCATAATTTATTCTTGTTGTTCACTGAATGTTAAACAAGGATAAAACAGAATGCATCCAATGTCTTAAGACGCTAATGCGATCGTTTGATTGGTTCATGATAACTTAAGATTATACTTAAGACGGTCTTAAATATAAAATTCAACTATAAATACCGCCCTAAAAGTAAGATATCTCAATTAATAAAATACCCAATATATATTTTATTAAATAGCACAATAAAATGTAGGTATTAAGAATTTCGCGGTTTAATTCGTTTCTATATACTAAAGCTGGAAACACAATGGGCATAGACAATAGACACAGGGAACGGAATAATCAACCGTCCAATCAGAACTCTGGGATATAATAACAAACTTATACTCCAGAGCTATTGGACAGTTCGTTATTCCCTATTGCCTGTGTTTCCAGCTTTAGGGCAAGTTTTTTAATTCATCGATTGATCAATCGTACTGATTGATCAATCGATTGATCATCGCGCAAATGTAATTTTGTTCCATAAAAGCTGCATTTGCGCATAATGCGATTGATCGATCGATGAATTAAAAAACTCGCCCATTTTTATTAAACGTACATCTTAAGGTCCTGCGCACAATAGAAGGAATAAAGAATTAGGAATAAAGAATAAAGATCACGGCACGCACCTTCCGTAACAGTAATCATAAGACGTACCATAAGAATCAACCAATTAAAATTAAGAGTTTAAAAGAATTCTCGACTGTGATTAGTTGATTCTTACGGTATGTCTTACTGGATGCATTCAGTGGGTACATTCAGTGCTACAACCACTCAGTGAGCGCTTGTATCTTATTGGCATATTCCGTTAGAACTAAAAATATAGACCAAACAGATTCAAGAGTTCACTGAGCGCTCAGTAAGCGGTCGTAGTACTGAATGGGCTCATTCAGCGGACTCGACAGTTGAGTGAGCGCTCGCTGTTATTGGTGTATTCTTTTAGATCATCCAATCATAATTTTAGATCTAGAAGAATACGTCAATAGCAGCGAACGCTCACTC